TCGTATCTCCAAGCCTCACTCTGACGCTACGGTTTTCTTGGTGCAGAGGGAGACTTACTGCTGTTGGTCCCACAAGGCTCATCAGCTTCAGCCTCAGCTCCACCCTTTGGCCTGTGGAGTTGTGGATATTCCTTGCACAGGCATCCCCAGGCCTCCTCCCTCCTTTCCTGCCAGTGTGACTTCGCCCAACACCCGCCAGCCTGGAAGACGTGGCAGACCTGCCTGCCTTGCCACTTGGCACTCTGGTCAGACCCACACTGTCTGTGACCCCCACATTCCTGGCCTCCTAAAGAGCCAGGCAGGGGGCCTCTGCCAGGGATGCGCCAACTGGATACTTGAGGCCAGTTTCCACCTCGGAAACTCCCATTCCTCAGCTACACACACACACACACACACACACACACACAGCCCCTGGTCACCCACAGCTTTCTCACGTTCCTTGCTGGCTGCTCTTGACCCTAGTCAACAGACTTTGCCAGGAAAACACACCAAGGACTCCTGGAAGAGCAGCCACTGGGTCATCTCCTGCCCTTAGGACCATGAACATGAACATGAACATGAACATTATTTGTGTGTATGCTCAAAACCTCTCTTTTGTCTTGACCTTCTCATCTGCAAAGTTGGGGTGACTGCTGGACATGGTGGATCACACCTGTTACACCAGCATTTTGAAGGTTAAGGCAGGAGAATCTCAAGTTCAAAGGCAGCGTGGGCTAAATGGTGAGAGCTTGTCTCAGAAAACCAATAGAGAAATGAATGTATGGCTCAGAGGTAGAGCACCTGCCTGGAATCCACCAGCAAAGGGCTAAAGGCATGCTCAATAAAAGAGTGCTTGCCTAGACTCCTCCAGTGAGCACCTGTGGTAGAGGGTTTGCCTAGAATTCCACAGGCCTCTGTTGCATGCCTGCCTTATAGCCCTCAGGCGAACACATCTTTCAGACATAGGACACTAAAGGCAGGTATGTTGGCACAAGCCTGTCATCCCAGCAGTCAGAAGGCTGAGATGGGGCAGGTAGGTCATGTGTTCAAGGCCAGTCTCTGCAACTTAGTGAGGCTCTGTCTCACTAGGAGGAAAGAAAAGAAAAAAGTATCTGGGAAGTGGTGGCGCACACCTTTAATCCCAGCACTTGGGAGGCAGAGGCAGATGGATCTCTGTGAGTTCAAGCCCAGCCTGGTCTATAGAGTGAGTTCTAGGACAGCCAGTACTATTTAAATAAAAAAAAATAAAAATAAAAATAAGCTGTCTGAAAAACCAAGGGGGAAAAAAGCCAAAAAGAAAAAAGTTCCAGGCATTATAGTATATGCCTATAAATCTCAGAGTGTGGCGGATGGAAACAGGAAAATCAGGAGTTCAAAGCCGTCCTCAGCAACACAAAAAGTCCAAAGCCAACCTGAGCTATAAGTAACCTGGTCTCAAATCAACAAACAAAAATATGGGCACTGACCCTCAGTGCTGTCTCCACAGGAGCAGCAGGAGCTGGTGGCCTAGGAGGTGCTGGAGGTCTCGGAGGTGCTGGTGGCCTCGGAGGACCCGGGGGTCTCGGTGGGGCTGGTGTTCCAGGTGGTGTAGCAGGTACGTTTTTGCTATCCCAGCAATGGGCTGGCTGGGGATTGAAACTGAGACCCCTCAGCAGTCCTTCCTTGAGTCCCTCTGTGTTCCCAGGAGCTGCACCTGCTGCTGCTGCTGCTGCTGCCAAGGCTGCTGCCAAGGCTGCCCAGTATGGTAAGCAAGAATTTAGTCTCGCTGGGCTTTGGTGGCGCACGCCTTTGATCCCAGCACTGGTGGGGGGGGCAGAGGCAGGGGGGGCTCTGCGGGGTCGGGGCGGA